TGTGGATGTTATGATTTTTTTTTTTTTTTGGAGGCTAATCAGTTTTCAGCTTCCATGTGCTGTTATGTCCATCAAATCTGCCCAGGGTCTTTAGAATCAGTAGCTATGGCCGGTGAAACTTAGACTCTACAGTGGAATGTTGATTTGACGGACCTGGAAAGTCACAGACTCCAGATTGAAAGGACAGAAAATTGTATCCGGCCCACTCAAAACGTCCTTTGGTACAATAGCTGTCAAAGTTTGTTGCAGGAAACGGCACTGTGGCACAATCAGATACACAGAAATGTATCCGGTGTACTTCCAAATTGTGCCGCTGTTGTTACAGATGTACAGTAGACTAGAGCAGGCTCATAGACGCGCCAACGTGGCGGCCATGTTGGTGGTGTCCAATCAAATGTAATGGAAAGCACAGATATTAGCTTAGCATTGCCAAAGACGCACGGTGCAAAATTAGCATGCCGTGCTACCTTTTTTATATACAGTATTTATTTTCAATAATTTTCTACCGCACTGTGTTTTTAGGCCACAAAAAATACAAAAATAATTATTTTTATTATGGATTGCGGGTTTTTAGGCCATGAAAAAAAAAGTACATCTATATACCAATCACATTGAAAAATTGCCTCTTGGATTTGAAACTTCATAGGTGACCTTCGTATTACACAACACTTTACGGTTGCATCTGTACTTTAAGACAAGTAGGACAAAAGGGTTGCGTGTGCTGATGATTGTTCTCGCCTCATTGCAGCCACCCCCAACCAAACATTTGCGAAATGATTTGCGCTCTCCAAAAAAACATCATCATCTCTCTTTTTGGTGGGAATGGTTCCACCCACTCCCCCTTCAAAGACACCCCCCCCCCCCCCTGCCCTGCCACCCCACCCAAGCGATGAATGCCGCGGCTGGTGCAGATTGCCGGCTGCTTCGGCGGAGTTGCATCACTCTGCGCCTTCGGGGCGTAACGTAGTGATCCATTTGGGAATTCTGAAGCCCCTTTTCAAAAATATAATTTCCAATTGTCATTTGTTGTTGGATTACGCACAAAGTACACATACAATTTGAATGTGTCGAACAAGCAGTTGTTATGTTTTGGTAAGGATCGAAATATAGCTCGGGATACAAATGTATCTCAACTCCACTTGCACTGGGGTCAAGTGCAGGGTCAGTGGTGGCCAACCCAAATCCAGCAGATGATGTCGCATCAAAGGCTTGGTCTTTATTGAGGCCCTTTCCCCAAAAAAGACATGAAATGCTCGGCAAAGCTGTTCCACTCCAGCCTTGTAGGTGGCAGTAAATTCTAACAAGCATTATAGTTCCGTTTTATATGTACTGCATGTTTACATTGTTGAAACATTGTGAAGGGTGCAGGTACATTATCTTTTCTCTTTGTTGCCATGCAATGATGTCATACTATTGACAAAGCTCGTGTCATCCTGCGGTGGATGACACACACACGCACGCACGCACGCAGATTGAGCTTTACGGTTCCAAACTGTACCATCCGCATCTGTTGTTGGTGGTGTGGTCAGGGGAAACCCGCAATTCTCCATGTCGTACGCTTTCATCCAGGGAGTCCTTGAAATCCCTCTCTTTGACTAACTACACCATTTTCGTGTTTTTGTCGACTGGAACGCAGATGCGTGCACACATACAACCCTAACTGCTGTGAGCACCAGTTGCAGTTTTAGACCGTGCTCGATATTTTCCCATGGACAGACCACAGTCTCAAAACCAAGTCCCCTGTCATCTTCAATTGAGTTTTGCAAAACCAAGCAGGGATCCTCATTTACCTCCCAAGAGGTCTAATTCCAAGACAGATGTATAGCATGACTTTAAATTAAAAATAATGATAGCAAACAGCGGCGTGCAATAGCCCGGGGTCCCATAGGGCAAGGGCCCCAGAAATTCACCTGAGAAGGGTGCATCCTGGATGATCGTTGAAGGTTCACCAACCGATATAAAGGAGGATCCGTTGGGGACAAAGGTTGTACAAAGGAATAAGGGCCATCTTATTATGGCACTTAAATTTCAAAACCTTACGTCTGCAAACCCAATCTCCTGACGCCACGTTGATGGAAACATGCGACAGGGTATCTGTATTAAAGAAGGGGGCATACAGCGTAAGTTTCAAAATCTTCAAAAACTTTCAAAATCTTCAAAAAGTTTAGTTGAAGGGAGTTTTGCGTCTTTAAGATCTGTGTTATTATGTCCAAATCAAGGCAGTGAGCCCCCCCACCCCCACCCCCACTAAAAATTAGGAGTCGACATCCTTCCCTCATTTGAGTGATGGAGCGTCTTATTTGACTCTTGCCTTCCGCTACGGGTGCTGCGCCTTGAACAAAAACAACAAAATCAAAGGAAGTAGAAAATTAAAAATCAAGGAGAGGAAAATGTTGCCGGGTCAGACAGAAAGAAAGCAGGCGAGGTAGGCTCTGCTGGAGGACCGGGAGAGGAAAACCACAGGAAGGAGTGAGATGGAGGGAGAGAGAGAGAGAGAGAGAGAGAGAGAGAAAGTCAATAGAAGGCGAGGAAGAGGCCACATCAGGGCTCCATGGAAGGTTTCCTGGGAGTGCATATGTATGTATGTAGCACAGGCAAACACACACACACACACACACACACGCACGCACGCACGCACACACACACACACACACACATATGCTTCAAATCACTTTTTGTTAAAACCGTCAGCCTGACCTGACAGTAGTAATTAGCAAAAACGATTTGTGCCTGGCTGCATTTTGCATCGCGATCCTCTACAATGAGTTTTAAAGGCGACGTTAAATCAACCATTCAAAAATGAGCCATTTTGCCACTTGTTGTCGACTGAAAATGACATCACAGTGCCTAAGGGCTTAGCTTGCCAACGTCACATGACACTTAGGCACTGTGATGTCATTTCCAGTTGACAGCAAGTGGCAAAATTGCTGCCTCTTGCGATGGATGAACACGGGTGGATTTCTCTGCTATATTCAGATTCCACAAATGTAATATGGATCACAATGGCGTGTTTAGACCAGCGGGAGAGCATAGCACATGCTATTGTAAAGTACATTTTTGACTTGACTTTCCTATAAAGAAACCACCAGGAACGAGGAAAAACAACCAATCAGAGACAGAAGCTGTGAATGCCCAGGCACACTGATAGCTGGCCCTGCAGCCGCACGCTGGCCTGTTAGTTGGGCTTTCGGGGTTTTGCTGAAACTATAGCGGAAAATCCACCCACGAGTGAAGTGAGGTTACGTGCAAATCTTACTAGCAGTTTTAAAACCCTAAATCCCCTCCTGTAAGTACAATAACAACTTATTTTTACTTCGCCTCCACTTTAAGAGGGGTCATCCAGTCTTTTCATGCTGTGTGTATGTAGATGTACGTTATGTGTGGACTCATGGGCGTGCCTCAGTGTAATTGTATGCATGTGCAGTGCATGTGTGTGTGTGTGTGTTACCTAACCCCCGAATGAAAAGTCCCTGGTCTCTGACATGTGTTTAGAATCTCTACCATACAGCATGTATGTGCGTGAGAGGGTGTTTTTGTAGGCAGGCAAGAGATCCATAAGAGGGTCTGGGCATGCTGCCACAAATATAAGGTCATTGAGGGAAAAAGTGGTGGAGGAGCTGCAGGAGGTTGGATGTGGTGGTGGTGTTACGCTGTTGTGAGGGGCGGGGGCGGGGGTGGGCTCACGTGGGGTTACGAGTCTGCCACTGTGATTTCAGGCCCTCAGTGTGCGTGCCTGCGTCCATATGGTCTTGCATGTGCGTGCTTCTACAATAACTACAAATAGCTGTGTACGTGTGTGTGAGAGAGAGAGCGAGACAGAGCGAGAGAGAGAGAGAGAGAGAGAGAGAGAGAAAGAGAAAGAGAGACGACGAGACGAGGCAGAAGTCAGTGAGTTTGCAGTGGAATGCGAAACCAGTGTGGCCATGTGGACAGCCGTCAGACTGACTTCACTGCGGTTTAGCCTCTGCCTTGCACAACGTCAAGGGATCCCGCCTGTGATCGCGGGAACAATTATTTGGAGCGGGAAAATGTTCGCCCGCATCTGGAGAAAGATTAATAGAGAGATAAGCCGATCAATGGAAAGATTTAAGGATGCAGTGGTGAAATACTGGTCAACCTGCTAGAGGCCTTTTTTTTTTTTTTTATGGTGAAGAGTCGAACAGTCAGTATTTTGGAATAGGCGTCACAAAAAAAAAAAAGACCCACAAAGCCAAAGAAAAAGTGAAAACACTACCATCGCACTCATAGGTTGTCATCACAAAAACACGAGCATACACCAGAGTCCGTTCGCAGCCTGTATGTATGTTTCATTTATGGACTGAAGGTGTAAATAAAGCGTGCGTTGTCCTAACTATGCGTGCAGCTGGTGCGCATTTCCTCACACGTTCCGTTCCGTTCATCTCCTGCTGATTACACCCCCACCCCCCCCACCCCCTAGAGTGTCCTGTAAAGCACATAACTGCCTTTTGAGTCACTCAGCTCCAACAAGAATTCCTGCGCTTGAGTCAAGGAGCTGCTTTTTCACTCTTGCTCTCCCAGAATATCACATGACCTAGGATGGAAAACTACCATTTAGTAGCCTTAGTCAGTCCCCGGAGCACAGAAAGGGTTAGAACGCACTTACGCTATGATGAATCACAGCGCCTTCAAAATACTTAACAGGGTGTAATGAAAACCAAATCAGAAAATCTGTTTAAATTTAAAAGTGAGTGCATTGGTACATACAAATGAGTAAAACTCGTAGAGCTTGACCGGGCCACAATCCGATCAAAATTATAACTTGGTATAGATCGGTTTGTTGTTGCTGATATTTAATGCATACATATGTGTGAGTGTGTGTGTGTGTGTTTGTGAGAGAGAGAGTGAAAATGTGGTTGCACAAGTGTGCACACCCTCCTGTAATTGGGGATGTTGCTGTGTTCAGTATTAACCAATCACATTTAAAATGCCTCTGTTCTAATCAAGTTCAGCCATTCTAATAAGCTTCTCTTCTTTCCCAGCTGGGCTGCTTGCATTACACATCATGTTGTCCTCGGACGAGCCGCTGGACCTGAAGCTTCCCTCGGGGCGGACCCGTTGTCCCCTCCGACTGGGAAAGCGGAGCTCGTCATCCATCTGCGCACCGCTCGGCATCCACCCACGACCGCGTCTGATTTACACCACCTTCCCGTCACCGCCTTCCTCTCCAGGTATAAGCCTCAACCAGAAGGGTCATTAGGGTCCTAAGCAAAAACTAGGTTTTCGGGCCCTCTACTTTTGCTCACAATACAAATTTTCTCATCCCAACAAACTTTTTAATAAAACTCGAGCCTCTGTTGACCTTTACTTCCTCTCGAGGCCCCCTAGTGGTTGCCAGGCCCTAAACAGGTCGTTATCGCTCATACCTTGGACCACTCCTGGTCAAGCGTTATTGTTCTCGTTGATGCGTGATGCCACACTGCGCAAATTAGCAACGTTACCCTCCTAATGCAATCAGGTTATGAGCGGATTCTCTGTTCTTTGCCAGTAACCTAATCTGCTGAACTCGCTCAGTGGTCTCTCAGTGTGTTGTGTTCTCAAATAGAAATGCATTGTCCCCCCCCCCCCACACACACAGGTTTGTAACTGGCAGTATGTATCATAAGACGAGCTGACGCTGACTGACAAAGAAACCTCAGCAGAAATTCTTCATGTGACAGGCCAAGCTTTGTCTGTACCACAACAAAGAAATAAACAGGAGTGAGCTTCCATTTAAAAATGCTTACTCATGAGTATTTGGGCCAAACACACACACGCACACGCACACACACACACACACACACACACACACACACACACACACACACACACACACAAAGCGCACGCTCACACACACAAAATAAATGATAGAATTACAAAACAAAGTAAAATTATGATGGCAGGGCACTTGACAACAAGTGGCCGTTTGGTATTGGGAATAAAAATAAATCAATCAATCATATTTTAAAAGAGGCTACGTAAATGTTTATGCCAAACCCAAGCAGGCATCATCATCACTGCCCTCGTCCTGACTTACACTGTCTCCCCCCATTCTAGATTCCCAGTCCCCATGTCATGAGCGACCTGGATCCTGCTTTACTCCCCCAGCCATGGACCTCAGCCTGTCGCCTTCTTCCAGACACGACTCCTCCCTTTCCCCGTCTCCCTCGTCCCCATCCCCCTCGTCCCCTCCCTCGCCTCTGGAGTCCCCCTACAGCAGCAGAAGCAGTGGCAGCCCTCGGCCAAACGCCTTCACACGGGTGAGTCCGGGTTACTGGCTGAGTCAAAATCACCATCAGGTGCCGTTTGGAACATTCCCATTGCGCGAAAAATAGTTGAGACGCTGCAAGTCCGGTTGATGCAAAATCCTCACAGGGAGAAACATAAGACGCAAGACTCTTAAGTCGAAATGTAAACATTTTAACATAGGTAGGCGCTCTAATTGCCCTGGCGCTGTATAGTCTAGCTGCCAAGTCAGGGGAGGAACATGATGGGGGCATTTGTACACAAGTTATCAAAAAGTCATATTTCCATAATATATCGACTTTGATACATGGAAGTTGACAACATTGTTTTGTATCTACATCGCAGGAAGCGACGCTTCATCGAAGGGTGGAGGCTGACGCGTCACCTCAGCGCTATCCTTTTTATATGCCCATCGCAAGCCCACCGGCGGGGTACAGCTTCCCGTCTTCTCTTTTCAGTGGTCAGAAGAGGGACAAGCAAGCCACACCTGAACCCTCACTGGACGCTCAACTCGCATGCCGCTGGATGAAGGTAATTTCTATTTTATAATCATGCTCAACTTATAGCTCAACTTGTAATACGGTACAGTGAGCCCTGGACTCGAGTACATGAGCCCCCCCGGGCGAAAAAAGAGTTCAGAATAACCTACTCTTATAATTTAAACCCTAAATATACTGTACCCTAAACCAAGTCGAACGTGTGATATTTGGACTCCGTTGGAACCGACTCGGTTTGTGTGTCCTGTAGTGCCACCTGCTGTTTGGGTCGCTACAGGACTTGGTGGACCACATCAATGACGCCCACGTCAAACCCGAAAAGGATTCTGGGTACTGCTGTAAGTGGCAGGGCTGTGCTCGCAACGGGCGGGGTTTCAACGCCAGGTGTGTTCTATCTTCTGTTTTCATTCAGATTGTCTGTGTGTGTGTGTGTGTGTGTGTGTGTGTGTGTGTGTGTGTGTGTTTGTCAACTAGCAATTACACTATTCTGCCTCAAGCTAACATGAGCTCACATGTTGAAGTACACCGTGGGCAAAGCACATGCTCACATATTCATGGCCATGTTTTAAATAGGTTTTATTTTTTTTAGGTATAAAATGCTGATCCACATCCGCACACACACCAATGAGAAGCCGCATCATTGCCCCACCTGCAGCAAGAGTTTTTCCCGTCTGGAGAACTTGAAGATCCACACGCGCTCCCATACAGGTGAGCTCCGCAAATTGTACAAAGGATAATTCCGGTTTGAATCAGAGAGGAGGGCTACATGTTTCTGACATAACAGATTTGCTGCAGCTGTTTTATCTAAACTATTTAATGACATTCGTCAATATAAAGAAACTGATCGGTAATGACACAGGTGAACAACAAGAGAAAAAAAACGTTGGAATACAAGTGTTTACGTTTCCAAATGATCACTTTTGTCACTTTCCAAGGAATTCATCATGTTCCAAGCCGGCCGGTTTCACACATTTTAAAGTATACATGATGTTATATAGTCGTAAAGGTATTTTTTAAACTAAACACTATTGAGCTCCATAAAACATGGGAGAAAAAATCCTGACAGTGATATATGTGAGATTTCTGAAAGCATTACGCATAAGAGTATCACTTTCGCACCTTAACATGCAATCAATATGACGGAAAAGTCATTGTCTATCCTACCATCCACAGTCGGGGCTTCGTAAAGTAACACATATGCCAATATCGCCCGACACACATAATACAAGCAGGAACAAGTCAAAAACATGTTTGAAAGTGTCAAGAATTAAAAGAATGTTTTGTAAGAAAGGGGCTATTATAGCCCAGCTTTCGGCTAATTTTGCGTGAAAGGTGGGGCACGATCTCAATGTTTTTGTATTTTCCACTGTCCAGGAGAGAAGCCTTACATCTGCCCGTATGAGGGCTGCAACAAGCGTTACTCCAACTCCAGCGACCGCTTCAAGCACACCCGCACGCACTACGTGGACAAGCCCTACTGCTGCAAGATGGCCGGCTGCCTGAAGCGCTACACCGACCCCAGCTCGCTACGCAAGCACATCAAAGCCCACGGCCACTTTGTTAGTCAGGAGCAGGGCGCCGCCCCAAAGGCAGGTCCTCTCGGAAACCAGGGGACGACTGACCCGGCCTCGACGGGGGGCACCCGGCTCATCCACCCGGGGGCGGCCGCGGCCCTCCTGGGCGGTTTAGGCACGACGCTGCCGCTGTCGGCGCTGTGCCACCCCCATGCGCCGCTCTTCTCCATGGGAAGAAGAGGAGGCCTGGGCCCGCTCGGCCTGACGGACTCGCCGCTTTTTCACTTTGGACTATCGGCGGCGTCCGTGTTGGGGCTGAGCGCTCTGGGAAGGCTGCGCCGTGCCGAGGGCGACGAGGGCGGTACCGAGCCAGAGGGGGAGGCTTTAAACCTGTCTGCGGAGGTGGCGCCCAGAAGGGGGGATCCCCTGTCCTGGGTGGTTGTCCCTCCGAGGGCACTCCTGCTTAAGCCAGCTGTTGTCAGCTAGGATGGTCTGTCTCTGTTTGGAGGCGGGGCAATGAGCGTAAGGGGTGGTCTGACGTGGTATTTTTACATCACTGACTTTTCCTGTTTACCCATACGGGGCTGCAATGATATTTCCAAGAATATTTGGCCGAACAAATGACACAAAAAATCTTTCACTTGCGTGTGATAGTTAATTTCTAATACAGATTCGAAAGTAGTCATAAAAACAGGCTCCACAAGTGACCCACCCAATGCGACACAATTGCATGGACAGTGGTGACTACATGTGGGGGTTTAGGACCGAGCCATTATAACAATGCAGAAATTCAGGAGAAACTGACGCCCACCCAAAAAAAGTTTGGAATTGACAGTTGATGCCATAAGAGGGTGGCAATACACTTTTGTTTATTCGACAATGCTATGGCCCGACTTAGCCGATAACACAAGGTGGGTTCCTCCCACCCAGTCATGAAAACTCCGCAAAAAAGCACATTTGCATTTGCCCAACCACAAATATGTGTGGATTCGTTTTAATTCCCAAAACAGGCGACGCAAAGTGTCAGGCCCAGTGTGTGACACAAATGCATCCGTAAAGCAAGTGTAGTGCTTTCCATTGTCTGCTGACATTGCTGAAGATATACAGTGCTTAACAAATGGAAAATGAGAAGAGATCATCAAAGTGCTCTCATTTGGACTCTTTCAATTTCTCTTGACTTTACAATTTTGAACATGGATGAATCAAGCACAAACATGTATTTCTAATATTGTGTTATTTCTGACATCTGGATCAATTCATAATGAAATTTTTAATTTTTTTTTTTGTTTTTGTTTTTGGGTCAATCTAGCGATTTGAGTTTGAATCTTGTAGGCGATTTGGCATTGCCAAAATGGCTGTTTTCAAACAAAAATGTCCCCATTCCTACTCAGTTTCAGATTTGGACCTTGAGACTTTTTGTGCATCCATTTGGCTGCTGGTCAATGAAACAGGTTTCAGAGGCTCATTTGTTCTAGCTCTCCTGGGGGGTGGTTAGAGACCCCTACCAATACCGATATTTTTACCAAGATAACAACAGTTTCCATGTATGTTTTGACCCTCCAAGAATGCAAACCATTTGTGTGAAGCAAACTCCTAAATACGATTTCAAGAGATTATTATTTAGGTCCAAGAACATCTACATACGAGCGCATTAACCTGGCCTGACAGAAGCGTAGAAAACGGATGCCGTTCTAATCGTTTGTTAACACTGTAAATCTACATACGCGAGAGGTGTAAACAGTCATTGCGGCCGAGAAATCAGCTGGTGTTGAAAATCTGATTGTAATTCTTACTTTGCACTTTTATCACAATGAACCCTCTGTAAAACAGAAATATTCAACGGAGGATGGGGAGCTTTGGAAGACTTTCATCCTGACGTCTTGCAGCGGACAATCGACGGCCTTTTCGCGTTCGACAAACCTCGCTGACGCTTCGGCTCGCCCGTATTTTAGCTTTAAACGAAAACGGGAATCAAGAGCGGGATTGCGCGACGGGGTGCAACCGGGAAACATACAGTATAAGTTAACGTATGACTAATGACTAAGTCGTTGTAGACTGCGGGTTCTACTAAGGGTGTATGTATCTTCAGGGAAATATATAGGCAAGCATAAAATGCTTTCACGTCAAAAAGGTTTCAATACAGCGACATCACCTGTGGACAACAGTACAGGACTGGGCCGCGTCCCGGATCACCAAATAGTGGACTTTGGATTGTCAGGGGGAAGTCCCTTTGGTCTACCCCTTGCACAAAGCTAGGTCTGTAATAGCATGCTAGCAAAAGTTTGGTGAGGAAAAGGAATGAATATCGCAGGTGGGGAACACAACATTTTAACTGATGTTTTTAAAGAAAATGAAGAATGGACACATGAAGGGGGGAGGGGGGGGTGGTTAGCGGTGTGCTATTGCACTCTTAAAATTGCTGGGTCAAAAGTCATCCAAATTGGTTGAAATAGCCATCGCAGCTCTGGGTGAAAAAGGGACCGGGACAAATGCCGTATTATTTCGAACCCAGCGCATTGGGTTGAGGATTTGGCCCAGCACGTTGGGTTGAATCTTGAATTCAACAAGGGGGCAAAGCAACCTATACTGATAAGTTCAAAATACTAAGAAATGTCGTCCCATGTTAGCAGTATAGCTGTGGCTAAAAATCTGTGTTACCCGAAGCCACCACCGATAATTGCTAAAATTGTCCGATTAATTTGACTTCAACTTTGCGACACAAAATACTCAAATACAGTACATTCAGTTCATCCAACTCAAGCTCTGTGGTGCGCTCGAGATGACCAACGCACAGAACCAAATCAACACTATTAAGTCCGATGAGGATTCGCGATCGTAAATATTGAACAGGTCTGACATTTTGGTGAATCATTCGACTCGGTGTCGGACGCACATTTTGCCACTGGAAATACTGCGCGGGTTTAACATGCACGATGGTTGGCCCAGACCGTTTTTTCAAGTCGATCAGGAAGGGACCAAAAAAAAAAGACTCTGAAAACACCCCACAGCACAGGATAATTACTCAGAATAATCTTTAGAGACTATTTGGCACTTGCTGATTTTGATCGGAAAAGAGGAACATTTCTACAAATTAAATCTGATTATTGTGCACCCAATTCAAAGATACATTTTGGTGAGCTTTCATTTTCCCCGCATTGTTACTCTTGTCCACAGATTATGTGTATTTTAAAAATGAGGTTCGCGCAGCCTTTTGTGGGTCTCCTATGTTCTTTTCACAGTGACAAAACCGCAGCAATCGGCGGTTCTTTCTGCCTGGCCACGTTAATCGTAGACAAAGATCTCCTCCACGGGATCTGCCAATGTCTCCTTCGCCGAACGAGCGAGGAATGACTTCCGACAGTTCAACAAACAGGTCGCGCCCGTGCGACTGCCACCGACTTGACTTGTTTCTAGTATTTTACATAGAGGTTACAGAAGAGGAAGGCATTTTTACTTAAAAAAAAAAAAAACTTGGCTATTTTTTGCCAAGTCTGACAATGGCTACATGTGGCCTGTTTGTGTTGCGTTATATCTTAGTGAATATCTCTGACCTGTCCCATATGTGCCTTGTGTTTCCGACCAAAATGTATCGCGCGGTATTTGAAAACATTGACGCAAAAAAAAAAAAAGTGTATTCGTGTAACTTCTTTTGTGTAACTGTAACAATGACAACAGATGCGACTTGTGCATCAGGGCCACTGTGACATTTTCCAAATGACAATGACGGAATGTCAATAAAGACAAATATGAATGGTCTCTTTCTTCTTGTTTTAATTTCAACTTAATATTTAACTTAAAAACTATAACTATAACTCCCACTTTATTCTTTTTTTGTTTTATTAAAAAGAAAAAGAAAAACTCTGCCGCGACAAGTTTACTACAGTATTACTGGTACATCGAAACCTGATTAACATTGAAGAACAAATGAAAAAAATATAGTACAACTTATAGCGAAGAATAACTATATTCTCATCGATTTTTAGACCGTTACGGAAGAGAACCTAAACACAACAATACAAGACCAAACAAAAATTAAGTGAACAATAAAAATACTGAATTTTTTTTTTTTTTTTTGGGATCAAATTAATGCACCATTTGAACGATGTCACCATTCTGAAAACAAAATTAAACAAATCAATCAACGATAAAAAATCAAATTCAGTTCAGCAACATCAACTCAGGAGTACAATACATAAAAAACTCCGACCTCCAAAATAAAAGTATTTGTGCTTTTTTATTTTTTTATTTATTTTTAATGAGATTGGCTAGATCACAGGTGTCAAACTCAAAGCCTGGGGGCCAGAGCGACTGGTCAGGAGGGCCAGTTCTGTCCTGGAACTGCTTCCTAGACACTCTAGAGGAGGTGGGCAACAAGAGGATGCTAGCTAAGCTAAAAGCTATGATGGACAATCCCTCCCACCCCCGCCAGCCCGCCCTGACAGCACTAGGTAGCTCCTTCAGACAGAGATTGTTTACACCCGCGCTGCAAGAAGGAGAGATACAGCCGCTCGTTCCTACCGACTGCTGTCAGGCTGCTGGATAAAAATAAAATGATGTGATGTGAAAAACAATTGTAAATAGTACGGCCACCTTATCTATATCTATATTTATATTGCACTTAATTGAACGGTGTACATTGAAACTGGAACATTTATTTTGTGAATTTGTGAATGCATACACTTTGTTTTTCTTCTTTCTACCCACAATCTTGCTGCTGTAGGCTGTAAATTTCCCCGGTGTGGGACTAATAAAGGATATCTTATCTTATCTTATCTTAAAACTGGATTCTGTGTGGGTGACACTAGAAACCAGCAGAAACCGGTCTTTGGCTAAGATTTTTTTCAGGGAAAGAGAAGTAAGAATCTTATATAGCTATCACTTTAGGATGATACTTCAGTTTGAAGACACACCACAACAGCGGGGACGGCGCCAGGAATTGTATTATAATTCGATCATAATTGATCCATCCATTCATTTTCTGAACCGCTTTATCGTCACAAGGGTCGCGGGGGGGTGCCGGAGCCTATCCCAGCTGTCTTCGGGCAGGAGGCGGGGGACACCCTGAACCGGTTGCCAGCCAATCGCAGGGCACACAGAGACGATCAACCAGGCGCGCTCACACTCACACCAAGGGACAATTTAGAGTGTTCAATCAGCCTGTCATGGATGTTTTTGGAAAGTGGGAGGAAACCAGAGTACCCCGGAGAAAACCCACGAAAGGCCCGGGGAGAACATGCAAACTCCACGCAGGGAGGCCGGAGCTGGAATTGTACCTCTGCACTGTGAGGTCGACGCACTAACCACCGAACCACAGAATTTTCGGCCTTTCAGCCATAAAGGATACAAAGTGGATCTCGTGAAGACATTTTGTTTCTTTCTGACCAATGGCTGGAATACAAAGAACAGCAGTCTTTTTTTTTTTTTAAATTAAACCTCCCCCATGCCGTGATGGTGTCATACTTGAGCCCCTTTGGGCGTGTGACACCTTCGGCCAAAGCAAAGGAAGAAGTGAGACGAGTGCAAGGTGGGGTGACCAGCTTCTCATGCCGTACTCTGGTGGGACAGATTTAAGGACTTTACCCATGGAGGACCGAGAAAGATGTCCGAGTTGGTATGGACTCAAGAGGTATTGACTGATTATGTTGTTTTGTTTCGTTTTGGAGTTTTTTCACCGAAACTATCAGCCACTTTTTCATTATTTGTGTGGAAGGTGAAATACTGCTTTGTACACGGTTGGATTTTCAGGACATTTTGTTTCTTTATGACCAATGGCTTTTTATTTTATTTGCGATGACCAAATAACTGTCTAACTAATTAACCCTTTCATGCGCCCCGTAACCTGATAAGATGATAAGATGTCCACTGTCGTAACTGCTGTGCCTGAAAGGGTTCAAAAAATGTATTATATTTAACACATTTATGTTCAATATTACCGGTGCTTTGTCCTTTTGTGTAACTTTACAGCAAAGAGGAATATTGGCAAGAATGTGAAGAATTTTTTTTGCGTGGGGGGGGGGGCAATTGTTTGAATATTATTATCTTTGTCTCGTGTAGTACTGTGTTAAATGAAAAATGACTGTTGATTTTTGTAAAAACCTTTTGAAGGGAGTCCTTGCCAAGAGACACCAAAAAGTACCAGTTTCAACACAATTTAAAATGCATACAAGTTAGAATCGAACGGCTGACGATACAACACGCAATTGTGATACACGAGTCTTGCGCAAATAAACGTGCGGCAATGAAGGACAAGCCTCATGACACATGTCAAGCCCATCCATGTGTTTAACCCTTTCAGGGACAGCGGGTACTACAGTGGACAGCATCTTGGCTTACCAGGTTATCATTATTTATGCATGAAAGGGTTCATTTGAATTGTGTCTGTTTTCCAGAAGACTGCGGTTCAAGTACCGGTACCTGTTCCTGCTGTGCGTCATTCTATTGTTTTATTCCATTTGGAAGAACAAGTCGCTTCTCCGTCAGCACTCCTGGTGGTTGACGGACGAGACCCATTATGCCAAAGCCCCTCATAACCAGGTCCATCCTAAGCACCAAGTCAAACTGGATGAGAACAATCCCAGCAACATGGGGAACGCTGGGGGCACGCAGTACCACCTGGCGTACCCGCGGAACTATCACTTCCTCATGGATGTTGGCGACGTGTGCGAGAGTCGTGCGCCTTTCCTGGTGCTGATGGTTCCGGTGGAGCCTAAAAACGTAGCGGCCCGGGACGCCATCCGCAGCACGTGGGGCAAGGAGAAAGTAGTCCAGGGCAAGAAGGTCTTGACTCTTTTCGTGCTGGGCCTGGCCGAGGGGCCCAATCTGCAGCGAGAGAGCGAGCTGCACGGCGACTTGATCCAGAGTGACTTCAGGGACACTTACCGCAACCTAACCATCAAGACCATGGTCATCATGGATTGGCTGGCCACGCGCTGCCCGACGGCCGACTACGCCATGAAGATCGACTCGGACATGTTTCTCAACATCGACAACCTGGTGCTGATGCTGCAGAAGCCGGACATTCCCCAAACTGACTACCTGACCGGGCACCTCATGCGGAACTCACCGGTCATTCGCAGTAAGAGCTCCAAGTGGTACGTCTCAGAGGAGACGTTCCCTGATCGGGTATACCCTCTTTACACTTCGGGCACCGGGTACGTGTTCTCCAATGATCTGCCCCGCAAGTTGGTGGAGATCTCTAAAAGGATCAAGCCCTTCGACATGGAGGACGCTTATGTGGGAATGTGCATGAAGGAACTCGGACTGGCGATCCCGTCGCCGCCTGATCCCTCCCAATTCCGAGCCTACTACAATAAGTTCGAGCGCTGCATGTACTCCAAGATCATCACCTCCGTTGTCAAGTCCCCAACACAGCTGATCGATTTCTGGGGGCAGCTCAAGATGGCGCCTGGACCGCCTTGTTAAGACACTTGTTGCTGTGCTTGGATTCACTCACTATTCAACTATCCGCTTTGTCAAGGGTGTCAAATCCCTCCAAATTACTGATTCATTGTAAACATTTACTTATTGTTGTGACTATTCAAATATTTAAAAATGCTGTCGATTGCAAATTTCCCCCGTGTGGGACAAATAAAGGTTATCTTATCGTGTCTTATTTCACTCACGACGTTGATTTTCACGATGACTGTAAGATGTCTCTTATTCAATGAAGTTGGCTGCCAGAAAATGTGAATAAAACGGGAATAAAGAGTCCTCCGTTGCATTCATTCTTCGTCAGGCTGCACTGTTGTGGTTGCTCCTCTTTTGTCCACCAGATGGACCACTACGATCACAATTGCACGCTTCCAACTTCGGAGGGGAAGGTCATTCTCAACATTTCACACGTCAATGCCAAAAATAACCATCCATACAGCCAGCCTTACCACAAACCGGTCTGTCGTGTGTGTTAATTCATCGAAGACCACCACTATTACGCTACACTTATAGAGACCATCAACACTCGAGAAAAGCATAACTGACACCGAAGACCTGGGGCAGATTTGATTGACAGAGTAACACCAAAGTTGAAACCTGACTTAAATAATCAACAAATGCTTTTCACTGTCTTCTGAGTTTTGTTTTTTCCTGGTTATTTTGCGAGCTCCATCTTTGTCACTCAAGTTGTCTCGACAGTTCACGCCACTGGATCTGAAGGGCCAGGATGAGGCATCCTTTGTGCATTCAAACAATAGTGGATAGCCAAAGAAACCGCAATATTTCTGAGGTGTGCAGGAATTTGTGAAAAATTCGGAACTACTTCAGTGCCTTTGCCGTTTTTACGAGTTTATCAAGAAAAAAACGTGCAAGGGGTTTCATGAGTAGGTAGGATCATTTATGCACTTGTATCCGCAAAGTTTGAAGGAAATCGATGTAACTCTGTTTTTTATGACGCTGTTTATGCCTTTGCCTCGATGCAAAAATTCCATCTCAGTAGGCCACCACCATTTAAGTATTGCCTGTACGAAGAATGTTGACAAATTTAAATTGCCAGTCGCTTTGAAAATAGAATTTTAAGCGTGGCTGTTTCAGCATGGGAAGCATTTAACACACACCGCATCTATAAAACACATTTTGCATTTAAAAAAATCGCTACATTGGATTTTTTAAAAAAATATAAGTGTCTTAACCGTTATTGATCAAATTATATGAATATGACCCTAAGTGCTGTATATGAATATACTTCAATTAAGATTATGCATATTTGAATTTTTTTTTTTTTTTTTTTTTTACATTTCAGTTTTGAAACACTACCACGAGTCGTGTGAAAAGTAAGACAAAACACATCCCGTGCTGAGTACACAGATAAACGCATCAACGCGTCCTCTTCTCATCGTGTTTACATTCCTCTGGGAGGGAGGTTGACATTTTGGGAGCAGCGTGAAAGAGAAAAGTGACGCTTCTTAGAAAGACACAAGTCATTTCCGCTGTGCTGGGTCTGTAGGTGTAAAAAGCACGATTGTAGCGGATGACATTTAGTAATTTTCAACAAAAATCAGGCAGGAGTGAAATATTTCCCATTCTGTTTTTCTTCTTTTAAATTTCCACCGTCTCAAACCAAAAAAGTGTGCCTCCCTCTCGTGGCCGATCGTGAAATTACACTCAATATAAACGACAGGTCGGTGAAAAGTACAAAATAGTCGGACCGCAAACCTGAAAACCAGCTGAATAAATACATGAAAGCAAAATGCTAGAAACTTTTTCAAGTGAAAGTGAATTACGTTCAAATCAAATATAACTGATCTGTATTTAACAAATAGACCGCACTATTTTCAAAAGATGTGTCAGTCACTGTACTTTAATGCACAGTTTGAACAACCACTTGGGGCGAATGTTTCACATACAACAGGGAGGTGCCAGTGTACCGCACTTTTAAAAACAACCTTTTTCAGTGAGAATTATCAGAGTTCATTGTAATTTATCGCTAAACTGATCTGACTTGACCCAACAAAGTGACCCAAACCGAATCAGGGACAAAGGTCCAGACCCAGGAATTTATCGTTAGCCTAATAGCATCGCCTATGTTTTTTTTGGGCAAAAACACACACACACATACACACACACACAACAAATTTAACAAACAAAAAAGAATCCAGTTGCCTCGATTCGACTTTTGCTGATTACCGTACCATGACCTCGATGACTGAGAATGTACGAAACTAAGGGGAAACAAAATTTTTCCAGCAAGCACTTTGGTATTTTTCAGTGACATTGTGACAGTCAGTTAAACAGGACTGGGGCAATGATGCTATTAGGCCAACATTACATTCACATAGGTTTTTATCAGAGGCGATTGCTCCAAGACTGCAAGGGAAGTGAGCTTCCCCTAAAATGTCAAAAAATAAGTGATAAAATATATGTGTGTACATACAATTGTGTGTACATGTCATTGACTAAATATGCGCTACAACGTGCTCAACTTTTGTTCCGAATCAGCTTCTTATTACTGGTTACGACGCGACTCTCTTCTCATTCATTCCCACAGCTTCACTGTGCTTTAAACTGTGTGGACGCTGAGCGTCTACAGTGCGGACGCTGGGCGTCGAGAGAGTAGTCCCAGTGCATTGAAACGAGGCGAATCATTGGATAAATGCTGGTTTTGTCCCGCCCATCGGACGCTCAGCGTCTCTGGGAGTCTATGGACAGTGGGCGTTTATGGGCGGGACGAGACGCTCAGCTTTTCTGCATGATGATTGGATGATCTGAGGCGGAATGTCTTTTGATTGACAGCGAAATGAGCCAATCACCGATCTTTTGGTGTTGGCATCCGTGGGAGCATTTTTCAATCCTCATTCTGTTCTGAGTTGAACTTGAGACTTCTTCCAATCATGTTTGCAACACTCTCTTTGTTGAAAACGCCTCGTGACAAATTAATCTTTTATTTCTGGTGGGTTTTATTGTAATTGCTTGTGTTCGCAGACTGACTTCTATCACTACAGTCAAGACCCTGGAAAAACGCCTTGTTCCAAATAAACGGACACATTTTATGATGTAGGCCGAAATTGAGCTTCCTCTCCTTGACAGACCAGCATCTGGTTTCAGTGGTTTGAATTGAATGGTCGCCCATTTAGACAGAACCACCCAGCAAGTAGTGAACCAACAGGCAAACAACTCAGAGGACCCATTATTGTTTTCCCCACGTTAACAGTAAGTGCAAGTAGAAGTCTCTCGTAGTGTGATTCTTCCCATGAGAAGTTCCCACTTTTTTTTTTTAATTGTAAAGCAGCAGAACAAACACCGCTGTTTGTTTTTACCCGGTCCTGTCAAATGTTCCTCTTTCTTCACACACAGACATGCGCACACACACACACACTCAGTGTCGAGTTTATTAGTATTTTTGGTATGTCGTATTTGGCTTAATTTTATTACAGTCTTGGAATCAATAATATATAAACATGCAGACACAAACAAATAAAGAGAATTACATCATGTGTATTTACCATCAAAATATCTTTGCCTTTCAAAATTCTGATAGCATAGTGCTAACACATCGCAAAACGCCTTAACCGTGCTAATGAAACTGGCATCTATGTTGCAGGGGTTTAACCTTTTAAGCAACCGGTGTTCAAATATAAACAGTGCTAGAAAGCATATAGACAAAAAAAAAAAACCCGAACAAACAAAATACTCAGGCATATATTCTTTATCCTCTGCAAAACCGAACAAATAGAACTACAGTTTACTGAGCCGTTGTGGCCATCTTTGTGTATTTATTATGGATGTATTATTCAGTTCAGTTCAAGGTGTACCCCGCCCATTGCGCGAAGACAGGAAAGGCTCCAGCACGCCCACGACCCTCGTGAGGATAACAGATGAGAAAATGAATGGATAGATGGATGGTATTATACTTCCCTCTGGTGGCCAAGGCGCGTATATCACCACAATATGGTATCTTTTCCCAAGTCAAAGCGAGAACACTGATTTATAAGACATTTTAAATGAAGCGAGAAGCTAATGCGGTCACATTGCTTCTTTTTTTTAAATCCCTTTTTGTTGAGTGTTTTTTTTTGTCTAATTGTTGAGTGTGCACATATTGCATGCAGTTCGGGACTGGCGAGGCAGGTAGTCCCCGCCTCGCCTCTCCTTCTGTGCACCTCCTCCTCCTTCAAGTGTTTCCCCGTGTGTGGAGTGGAGGCGAAACACTGCCGCAGTTTGGATTAAGACACGCAAAGAGAGAATAGACACGGGGCCGGCTCGTCGTGGAGACTTTCCGCGTGAACGGACGCTCACCGCGGTTGTGTTTATGCACAAAGTTTGGATACATAGTTTGGACCCGAACATATATCCCGCTTGGATTTGATTTGATTTTTTTTAAAGAACCGCGTCGTAAAGGGTAAGTGACATCTCGCGTTTCACACCATCGAACCATTCACACATGTGTCGTCGTGCGTGGAAATGAAACACGATTAGCCTGAGTGAGAGATTGTGTGGGACGTGGCCAGGGTTCACCTCTTACGGGCACTCACATTACTGAACTGCTCTCTGAAAGTGCCCACCTTCTAAAACTATCACTCGCATGACTGAAATGCGCTCAGACACAATTGAAACGCTCTCACTTCACAATGAAACAAACACACTTCCGAAATGCGCCCATACGCACGAGGCTATTTTTTTTTTTTTGCAAACGCCACTGATATGCTATCCCACATTCAACTGAGTTTTTTTTTTTTTTTTTACTCAACTGCTTTCATATACACTCCTGAAATGTTCTCTCACACGCAGTACTGAAACACCACCAATAGACAACGACAGAAACCTCTTGTCACATACTACTAAAAGCTCTCAGGCACGCGATTGAAAGGCTCTCAGGCACACAACTGAAACACTTGTGCACTCCTGAGTTTTTTAGGCTCACATACACTACTGAAACATTTTCATACACCTCTCCATCTCGCTCTCTCTATCTCTCTCTCTCTCACATGCACACACAGTTTGTCCACATTTGTGAGAGGCTCAGCCTGTTTCCTGTGTTCTTTCTACATATTCTTCATTTTGGGTTTGGCTACTTGACAACAAGGAAGAAACATTAAAAATCAAAAGAGTGCTCAAACAGGCACAACAACAATCATTAATAGATTTTTAGAAGTAGAGTATATAGCTACTAAAAAATGTATCTGGAGCCGTATGATTTTTTTAAATGTTTTTTTTTCATATATTACAGATATTGATTGTTTATCAGTGTTTTTTTTTTTTTTTAATCATGAGGTTTGAAAATTGCAATATGTTGCTTGGCCACCCCTCAAAAAGCAGCAGGGTTCTTGGGCTGATTTCAAACAATAATAAACTGTTAAAACTACACGAACAAAGACGATAAAATAAAAATAAAATCGAATGTTTAAAAGCAGTCAGGTTCTAGATCGGGCGTATCAAAGCAAATCCTCCACCACAAAAAGACAGCAAAAAAAAAAAAAGAAAAAAAAATCAGAAAGATTTTGGAATGAGGAATTGGTATGACCTCTTGGCTGGATTCTCATTCCAAACCTGTATGGTTACTTGGATATCATTCAAAGTCATTTGGATTCCTGATCCGACAAAAAAAAAAAAAAAAAAAAAAAAAAAAAAAAGGAACAGTCAACTTCTTGGACCTGCATTCAAAGCAATACGGTTATTCAGTTAGCAATCATGCTTTCTAAGCAACTACAGAATATGGCTGACCACGTTGAAAACTTCTAAATCGATAGAAAGTACCAGAAAAGCACCTTGATGATTGGCTGACAAGCTAAAAAGGAGCATGGACTCAAACATCATCAAAGTCATGCCAGGAAGCAGAACCTTAAGGAATGGGCCTTCATTTCACCAAAACCAATCGGCTTCTTATTGTGACAAGGATCTCAGAAGAATCAGAAGGCTGAAAAATGCAAAGAACTCAGAGGCAGTTAGGCCCAGGCAGAGAGAGAGAGGAAAGCAAACATTCCTGACTCGCTGCCTCAGCAATTTAATTAAGTTGTTCTTATTTTGGAGGGGTGGTGGTGAGGGGCGCGGGGGGTTCCATGGAGATGGAAGATGCTGCGAGGGCCGGCACCTTGAGGTGAAGCCCCTCCCCCCCTCACCATATTGCTCCCCATCTTGGAGTGATCCCGAGGGTCGGCCTGAAAGTGCTGCGGTCAAGCCACCGTGACGGCTGAATGCGAGGAAAAGATCCCCGAAAGCCACTTAATGAGTCTAATCAAAGAAGTTTAGGGGTTGCAAGGTGAGCAAGTCTTTAGTTGTGCACGTGTGCATGTGTTTTAGCGGCGTATGTCAGCAAAACTATTTCACTAGTGTGCGTGCGCGTGAGAGCCTTTCAGTTGTGCACGTCAGCGAAAACATATCAGCATTTTGTGAGAGCGTTTCGCAGGGGTGGGCATCTCTTTGACAATAGACGGTTCGATACGTACCCCGATACAGGGGGTGCGATACTATTCAAGGACGGTCCAATTGAAAATGGAACGATTCGACTCGATTCGGTGGGATTATGATTTGATGAGGAACGGCTCAGTTTGAGAGGGTACGGTGCAGCGAGTGCGTTTCCTTCCAAGAGATTTAATACTAGAGATAAAGTATATTTGTAGCTTTTTGTCATGTTTATTAACAGTCAACAACATGTAAAGGCTCTCCAAAGCGGAAACTGTTTGAGTGAATAAAAAGTCAAAGAAATCATCAGCAACATCAAAGTGATATCTAACTTTTTGACCGTGCCATCTGCCGGTTGACGCGATCTTGAGAGCGAGTCATTTGTTGGTGTTCTGATGCAGTCATCTTTTCAATCAAAAATGATTTTCGGTATTTAATTTGGTTTTCGTGACACGCTGAGAGTTTTGGTAATGTTTGTGGGAGCCTTTCAGTTGTGTGTGCGGGGGGGGGGAACCACAAACAGCTGTGGGTGCTACCATTTCAGTACTGTATGAAAGCATTTCAGTAGTGAGTGAGACAGTGTTTCGGTAGTATGTGTACGTGCAAAAAAAAAAAACAAAAACCCCAAATACAACCCCCCCCCAAAAAAAGTAATATTGTGCGCATGAGAGTGGTTTTTGAATGTGACTGCTTGATTCGGAACACAACCACCTTCCCAGTTATAAAAGGGTGTGCACACTTGTGCAACTCCATTATTTATAAAAAAAAAAAAACATTCTCAGTTGAGCTGCTATAGGTCACGTTCATTGGTGAAAAATCTTTTGAAATGATTTATCTTGTTCTCATTATTCAAACAGGGGGATGTAAACTTGATATCAACTGCATAGGATCGGAATGAAAAAAAAAACAACTAAAAAGAGGTGCTTCCTTTTGACACCGCGGTAAACTCCGACCCGCTTCAGTCAGCATTTTTTTTTTTTGCTTCGAAATTAATGGGATTCTTTCTTTGATACGGGGCAACTGGAGTTCAGTGGCAAAGGCGTGCCTGCAGGGGCCAAACGTATTCCCCGTCCCAAATGTGGAATGCGGTCGAATCGTGCTCATTTGTTTTCAGCGCGTTTCACTCTTGTACGTTAGACTGCACTGCACTCGACTGGCGTGTCCCTCCACTCCAGCATATTGAGACAATCAGCTCCAACATGATCCATTTGTCTACATTCCACTGGTCCCACTCACTCGCGAGGCAAAAAAACAAAAAAAAATTCATTTGGTGCTACTTCGATCATTATGACTTTGGCATTTCCTGCAGGCTGCCCGTTTTCACCATGTCTGGGTGATTCTTTTATTTTTATTTCTTAAGATGTATTAATTTGCTCTGGTTTATGCTTGGAACATTGGGCTTGAACCCCCCCCCCCAAGGCTCTTTGATGGTTTTGGCTCAAATATTGTGGCTTGCAAAATGCTTCAGTTGGACAAGGCTGTGTTTAATCATTATTATTATTATTATTATTAACGTTTTTTGTTTTGGTTTGTTATTTTGTAAAAGTACAACTATGAGCATTTACAATTTTTCTGTCATACGACTAAGCTTGTATTTGTTTTAATGATTTTTTTATCAAACTTAATTCTCACAAAAAAAAAGAATGAACTAATTTCGACTCAATGAATGAGCAAACTTGAAGTTGGGCAGTGCAACAAAAAAAGTCCATCCATTTATCCACTTTCTAATCCGTTATCCTCACAAGGGTCGCGGGGGGTGCTAGAGCCCAGCTGTCTTCGGGCAGTCGGCGGAGGACACCCTGAACCGGTTGGCAGCCAATCGCAGGGCATCCACAAAACATTTTAAGTTTTATGAATGAGAAAATTGGCTTCCCCACATTTTCCAACGAAGAAATAAGAGTTGACACAACAAAGTGTCCCTTGTATCGTCCCTTAACTTCACCATAGGAGTAAAGTCAACGCAGCAAATTGTTTGGGAGCAAACAACTTGCTCTCTTTGCGATGCCAACTTACATTGTTGACATGAACATCAATCATTTATATTTTTCAAGTTGTTCCAACTTCACCCTTTCATGCACCAATAATGACAACCGGTGACCTGATAATATTAGAAGCTGTCCACTGGAGTAACCGTTGTCCCTGAAAAGGTTAAATTCCCGTTTTAGGCCCCAAAACATGCCATTTTTTTCATGTAGCGTCCCGAATTTATCCTCATAACAGTTTAAATTTACAACTCTTTTTTTTTTTTGTAGAAGTGATGGTAATGTAGTGCACGTTGTCCTTTTCCGTGTGCCTAATATGGTTTCAGGTTTCAGTGACAACAAGCTCACGTTGAACCTTTTACAAGTCATCTTGACACCTGAGGAATTCTAGAAGCAAAACTACACGGATGAACCCGCGCCTCGGCACGCTCACCAGAGGGGAACTTTTCTTCCCTTAGAAGTCCCCCCCAACCCCGCCCACCACCACCACCCCCAGGGAGCCTTTAGGGCTCGCTACTCTTTTTGTAAGCCATGAAGTGTGTCTCCAAGTCCCTCCCCCCCTCATCCCCTCTGCGCGTTGTATAAACACAGCGCTTCAGTAAGAAGGTAAAGAGCATGACATTTGTAGAAAAAAAAAAAGTGCTCGCCGTGAACATTCCGCAGCGGTACCAGGAGACACCGGCAAACAAAGGTGCGGATCGGAGCTCTGGTGACATTATTATGATGCTGATGTCAGCAGTTTGTCTCCTGCTCAGTGTTTTTTTTTTGTTTTGTTTTTTTTTAAGCGGAAGACTTAGCGTCGTAGTGTTAGCTACAAGCTAGCCACTTACAGTACATGTACTACCATATCTACCTTGCTGCATACCTCCCGACTCACATACCAACATTCCTTCCTTTGCACCGGTCCCCAGTGGTCCCCAACTCTCGGGCCGTGGACCGATACCGGTCCGCGGGTCATTTGGTACCGGTCCACAGAGAAAGAATAAATAACTTGCATTACTTCCGTTTTATTCATTTC